TGTACAGCTACGGTATATAAACCATTTGTTATTTTATATTTTATAAAGTATAGCCTAGCCCTTATTGTTTATGCTAATAAAGTGTTTAAAGAAGGTTTATTGCAGGGACGACCGAGATATTCGTTTAGTAATAAACGTATTAATGTCACTAATTTTAACCTTTGTAATTTTTTTCTAAAATGATGTGTTGTGCTCTTATTTATCTACCATTTATATCCATTACTAACATTGAAACACAAAAAGCGGTACTACTGCCATTTATTTATTTATTTTCATAGAAAAACATCTCAAAATACCATCTTTAAAAACATTATTCATAAGAAGTTAACTAGATTTGTCTCTGGGCTAAAACATAACATAACTACAGGATCAATACAAAAAAAAAATTAAAATAATAAGAGTCAAAAACACATAAGTATAAAAAATACAAAGCAGATACAGTAATATATACAGTTATTGTAGAATAATAGGCCTATACATACAATAGACATACACGCAGGATGAAATGTAACGTACTGTACGTAGTGAATGTTGTAGAGGTCAAGGTTGAACGCGTTTCTGGAGACGTGAATGCGTTACAGAACCTCAATGTCACCGCATTACCTTCCGAAGCACAGCGGAAAAACATATTTAAAAAAAAAATCATTTTTACCATATTTTGGATAATTACCGTACTAAAAGTTGGTTTCTATTGATTATTAAGTAGTTTTCTACTCTCGTGTGGTAATATTTTTATCATTTTTGCACCCGTGTGGTCGCGAGTGGTCCCGTGTGGTCGCGAGTGGTTCCGTGTGGTATTTAGTAGGACCGGCTACTACTACTACTAGGAGGGCCTAGGCTAGGTAGGCTTATTTGCTATAGGCCTACTACAAATTAAAAAAAGAATATAACATTGGCCTAGAGGGCTGGGTCAGCATTGCTGTTAGTGGCACCCTCGTTAAATAAAGTTTAATAAAAAAAATAAAAATAATGTATTTTTAGTGCAAATGGAATACTTTATACGGTATGACATCAGTTGACCTATTGATTCTACAAAGCGTCATTACTAGCCCGAGCCTCAGACATTCTCTGCAATTATTAACCGAGGATTCACAAAACAAATGTTTCACCTTTTTTTTTTACAGGCTGAACCATCATTAATATGGCTACTGCTACTGTTATAGGAACTAAGATGTCTAACCACAACCTGTTCTCTACATTATTAATACTTCTAACGTCAATGGTTGTGGTCACCATTGAGACAAGTCACGCCCCCAAAGGACACATGGAACCGATTGGTAACCATCGGGATTCAGATGGCCATATTGAAATCTTGACTACTGTGCCACACCCGCTTAAATTCTGGGAAAAATATGTCAAGAAAGGAGAACCAGTTTTGTTCCGAGGTGCTGCAAACCATTCTCCTGGGCTTAAACTCTGGACAGATCATTACTTGCTTGAGAATTATGGACGATTCAAAGTAAAAGTTGAATCAAAATTTGAAAAATATGACACACCAGTTGGCGTATTTGGTATTGGGCAGGAGAGTATAAAGAATTTTATTGGTAGATACAGAGCGGATGATATTTATATTGTGTCGCAACTCCCAGACCCGATGGGAAAAGATGTTGCAGTGCCACCGTGCCTCCTTTGTGGTACTTTTCGTGAAAGCATTACGGAAGCTAATTTGTGGTTTAGTTCAGGGGGAACAAAGAGTCTACTGCATAGGTAAAGTTGCACTGTCTGCCAATCAGAAGCGAGCTTTCGAAATGGGCGATGCGGGGAGCTGCGACGGGGAATTCAGTCAATCATGAACGTCGTACTATGCACTTACGTCTCAACATCAAAGCTGTTTCGATTTACAGGACGACACGCTCTCTCGTATCGCGTGATCAATTATGCAGGCGCCCTAGCAAGCGCGTATTTATAAAACTCACGTTGCCGTAGTCAACACAACGCCAAATTGCTTAAAGCCCGTTGTCAAATCCACACAACGAACGACTTCCGCATGTATTCGCATGTGCAGTACGGTTTCACGCTCCACTGCCCGTCGTAGAACGCCGCGTCGTCCAAATCGAAAGCTGCCTATTAACTTTCATTATTACTTCATAAATGTTGACTTAATATTGAATTATTGTAAAGTTTGATAATTTCGGATCGATGGTGGGTTGCCTATGGTACACCACCTCCAATGTGCATGATTGCTAGACTCGTATTTTGCGCAATATAAATGAATAACCTTTAACCTTTAGACTGAAAAGGAGAGGTTCCACTATATTTTCCTGTGAAAAAATTATTTAGGTGTAAAAATCAATACACAAATTTTGAAAATATGGGCCAGTTTCCACTTACGTTCTATGTCTAAAAATACTACTGCACCGTTTCTTCAAATAATTTTTTGTGCAAATTTTACAGTAAGTTGTAATCTACTCTCCCCCCACAAAAAGAATATACTTTACTGTTTGTGGGTAGTACTTCTTTAAATCAAATGGTTACAGAGTCTACAACTAAATGAATAGATTAGTACTATGTACATGCATAGTTTACAATTACTTATTTGCTTTTCACAGAGATGCTGATGATGCAATTAACTGTTTATATAATGGCACTAAAGATTGGATAATGATTCATCCAAGAGATGAGCAGAACATCCCAATAGCCAAGGAGGTCTTTGAGGGATATGGTGGATTCTCGGTTCTAGACCCGGACAGAGTTGATCTGCTCAAGCATCCTCAGTTTGTCAATGTTCCATGGAAGTTTGTTCATGTCAAGGCTGGTGATTGTCTTTTTCTTCCAAGAGGTGACTAGAAAGTCTTTTTGATATTATTAGGACGAGTCAAGTTTCCAAGCGGTAAGGCAGGGACGCCGCTAACTATAGCCATAACATCAGCGCTGGTTCCAGCTTCTCGACCTGGGTTCGGTTGGTAGAACCAAGTCTTCTCGAATATGGACATAAAAAAGGAAATACAGTGTATACATCTGGCTCGTGTGCACTTTAAAGAACCCATTGCATCATTCAGAAGTGTAGGGGGTTACTCTGATGCTATGGTTCATTTTAGCCATCGCATTGTGGAATGATGGGAAAATGTAGCTACTATAAGCACCTCACAGACCACGCCCATACGCAATTCAGCACAATCACGCTGCAAGTTATGGTTTATTCTCCTACCTTTACCTTTATTTATTTCTTATGCGACAAGAATTTAAATTTTCACATTTGGTTTAAAAAGGTGTTAAAGTTATAGTCTACCAGCATACTACAATTCTGATCATCCTTATAATCGTTTCATTATCAATATATCATTTAATGATTACAATCCTCATGCCATCTTAAATTTCTGCAGGCTACTGGCATCGAGTAACATCAGGAGGAGCCAAGAACATTGCCGTTTCGCTTCTTTTTGGTCGCATTGAAAAGTTTGAACCACTCAACTGTGACACTACCAAACTTGATTTTATGCCCCTGACTGAAGTCGGCACAGTTTGGTCATACGATGGCTTTGGTGTCCAAAGTATGGGAAATGCTAATCCATTTGCATTAAAGTATGTAGAAAATTATAATAACATCACTCTTAAACAGCACATTTTGAAAAACCCTCAATGCTTTTTTGCAACAACAATAACTGTATGTTTTATGTGTTTTTATCATAAATCTAGTTTGTTCTGTTTCATGATGGGAGTGCAAAATATATATACATAGATATATTATTGAATAAAACTTCAGTAGTAACTAAATTACTTCCTTGAGATTGGTTGTCAAATGAATTATAATAAATATGTTGTTATTTTTTTTTTTGCAGTGAAACAATCCAAGAAATGTGCCTCCAAAGTTTGCAGCATCGTATCACGGTGGATGACATATACGAAGATCTGATGGAGGTACAGTCTAAGGCAATTTTTACAGTGACAGTTATGACAGTTATACAAGTCTGCAACTTTGTGAGAGGGCATTAAAACTGCTGTTATAACTAACCACTCACTTACTTCTTTCTATAGGATTTCGAATCAGAAGATGTTCGGAATTTAGTTTTCAAAGACGGCGCGGACTCGTATCAAGAATATGTGACTGACATTAGTAAAGAGGTATGGTATTCAGTTTGATTGTCTTATGCATGTTTCAAAATTAGACAATAACATCCAAGTTGGAAGAAACCACTTTTGTGGAGGTCGGACTAAGCCTGTTTTCCACTGTTTTAATTTATTCGCATGAATCAAAAGGGTCAGTTCTCTTTCTGAGCTCTGAAGGGTTGTACATTTTTTTGCTTCGCAAAAAGTAGAAACAGTTCAAAGTACTGATTTTGCTGCAGTGATAGAAATGTGAATGTGCATGCGCATGAACCTAGGCTTTCGATTCGCATGAATAAATTCACCTAGTGGAAAACAAGCTTTAAGTGAGCTATCTCAACACATCCAAATTGTATCTTGCTGTGTGTGTGGTGATACCCATTCACACTGTCTTCTGGGAGAAAATTGATGACACAGTAGCAAAAAATGCAAATATCTCACAGGAGACTTGGGACCCATGAGAATTAGGAATTTGTGTAATAATAACCATTGTGTTATCATTATCATTTTTGTCATTAACAGTATTTAAGGATTCTTGGTGATACTGACCAAAAGGGCTTTGTCACTTGTGATGAGGTCAAAGGTATCACCTTAGATCAGCTGAAGGAGGTTTCAGTTTTAACAAGTATGGATCCAGCAAACACGGAGGAGATGGAGTATTATACTTTTTCAATGAAGAAAATTGAGTAAGCTTACCTTATTTTTTATGTTATTGGCTAAAACCTGATGCTATGGCAGTATTTAATTTACTACACCACATATGCCTAACTCCTGACAATGATTTCAGTAGCAAAGTCAGTAATGCATAATATGAGAAGGGACAATTGTATATGAAAAAAGAACATAAGTTTATATATATAAAATATTAGATATTAAACTTTGCTATCACATCTAACAAAACTGTACAGTAATAGGAATGATAATGGTTATGTTAAGAATAATGATAATGATCATAATCTTACCTTAAACCCACCTATCTTCTTCGGGACAAGTGTATATTAAGGCTGCAAGATGCAGGGGTTCTAACTTGGAAGTAGCCTCTTCCGGGAGCTCTGTTTTTCTAATTTACTCTTGCTGCACATGGTCATACCTATCAGCACTGACTTTCGGGAGACAAATGACATTAAATATAGTAAAAACATGAAAATATCGTAAATTTGCGGAGAGTCCCGCAAATTGCTGGACCATAGGACCACTGGAGATGTGCTCTCCATTTAGTTGTGTCTCTGCTTCATTCAATGATCACCATTCCTTCAAAAGTCTTTCCCTCTCAACTCCGCGTAGTGTTTCATCATAATTATGATAACAATAGTTATAAGTACCACTGTAAAAGTAATGGCTAGTACCCCAGTCAGAAAATAATTCCTACATTCATTTCCATACGTCCAATCATATTATTAAATGTCAGAAATTAAAAAACTAATTTCATTACTTTTTCTTGTTTAGATCTTTTTTGATGGCTTTTGCAGATGGAAATGAAGACAGTCGTTTAACAAGCTTTGAAAAGTTTTCAGATGAATATCAAAGAATAGGTGGAACAAGCATAGTTGCTGAAAATGTAAGTTCACATGAGCCAATTTTGTATACTGGTCGAACTTCCAACCATGAGGTTCAGAACTTGAATGGACAGTGTTGATCCAAACTTCCTTCACCAATATGGTGAGACCAGCCATACTAGTAGCCTATTATAATAATATGTAGTTATAACTTATGCTTTAAACAAAGATTAAAGGTAAAAGGTAGGAGAAAAACCCATAATTTGTAGAGTCATGTTATTCCACAACAACAGGCGCTGAAATTAACCATAGCATCATTGTAACCCATTACTCTTCCAAAAGATGCAATGGGTTCTTTAAAGTGCACATGACCTAGATACTGTATGTACACTGGACCTCCATCTTAAGTCGTTGGTTCTACCAACCGAAACCTGGATGAGGAGCGGGTACAACCAGCGCCGATGTTAAGGCTGTAGTTAACAGCGCCCCCGCCTTACCATTCGGCCACTCAGCTTGAGTCAGCTCAACTAGTATCTAAAGTAGTGCTTTTGTTTACTTGCTTCTTATATGGTATATATCATGTGTTTTTTGTTATCATTCAAAGTTTTTTTCCATTCATCTTTTTTGTAGATATTTAATATACTTGATATCAACTCGGACAGAATTTTAACTGTACAAGAAATACATGCCAACATAGGACAAGTTCTTCAACTGTATTCCCGCATAAGTGTGTTCGACTCAGGTAATTTTTTCAACCAAGTGGAAATTGTGAATTAAAGGTGTAAATTTTACGTGGATTACAAGTACATTTTACACATGATTCTATTTTTCTTTTCAATATTTTATTTATTAACATATGAAGTATACACTCTTGTATTAGAATTCCACATAGCCACACCACATAAAAGCATATGCATTTGAATACAACAAAATATTTCAAATATATGCTAAAGCCCTATAATAATAATATTTATTTGGCATCAAAAAGACATGTTACAGTATTGCCAGGAAAGAAAATGGACATAAACCCGAACAAGAAAAACTTGCACTCTTATCCAACATCTTAACTACAAATTAACAGCTCAAATAAAAAACATCAAATTAACAACAACAACGACAACAACAAAAATTACCTTCAACCAATCAACTGCAAAAACAGTAACAAACAACAGAAATAAACAAAGAAAATGTAAAGGAGGGAAAAACAAAAAGCAACAAAAAAGAGGATATTATTGATCCATAAACAATCAACTAATACATTGAAAGGAAGTGTTTTGTAAGGGCTGATCTGAAACCAATTGATGTTGATTGTTGAATATCCACAGGAATTTCTTCCCATAGTCTTGGAAATGCAACAAATGCAGAATTTAGAAAGATATTACCTTTTGCATTCCAATGGATCAGTCTACCCTTACACCTTTCACTAAAATTAACATATTGATCAGAGGAAGATGGGCAAAAGCCGTTGATAATTTTATAGCCTAAAGTTAATTTTTGTAATTTAAAAGTATCTTCTATAGTAAGAATGTTTAAAGATTTTTGCCTATAGTGATAGGATGTTTCCCAATTACCTTCTTTTCTAAACATAATAATACTAGTAGCTCTTCTTTGTAGACTCTCAATTTTTTTAGTGTTATGTTTATCACCAGGTGACCACATTGCACAGCAGTAAGTTACAATAGGCAATACAAGTGCTTTATACAGGTTAAGCATTGCTTCCCAAGACATATTTTTGCTACACCTGATAACAAAACCAAGAATTCTACTAGCTTTAGTACATACATAATTGTACTAGGGAGACAGCAAAAGACGACAGTGGCAGAAACAATCAAATGTGACACAACTATGCTGCAAAGGTTGACTTCACTCAGCATATAATTATATTCTGTTTCTAAAAACTGTCGTGGACTAAAAAATATTGTGACCAATTATTGACTCCAGTCATCTTTTACAAAGAATGTAGATCAAACACTTATGTTGTGCACAGTCTAATTTGATTACACTGTGTAATAGAATGTTTTTGTTTGCTGTCGTGTGTAAATCTGTCTTAATTGATAAAAACTTTTAAAATACAGTATTGTCAGTGGCGTACGTAGGGAAGGTGTGGGTGGTGCATCTCTCCCCCCCCCCCCCCCCCCCCCCGTATTAAAACAGCTCTCCCTATTGAAAACGACCGAAGCAAATAAATAATAAGTAGATATAAATAACCTCCTATCACCTTATTTTGCGAGCCAGCGCTCCCTCCAACTTCACCTTCACTCCCCTATCAGCCCCCCACCTCATTTTAAGACTCCTAGATACCCCATTGTATATTGTGGCTTATAGTTTATTTTGCTAAGAATCTGGGGATGCAGGCCAGCTTCATGGGTTCAAATCTGGTGACACCAGGATTTTGGTTTTCAAGACTAAAAAGAAAAATTCTTCCTCTTTAGAGGTCGAAACTTTTCATTTAAGACGACCCTAAATATCAGCTGACCTGTATATAATGGAAGGGTCCCCTTAATTTTTTTTAAATATTATTGTATAGTATCTTTTTCAAAGTATTTTTGAATATAAATTGTGGCTGATTTTGGCTTTAACTTGCATTATTTTATTTTTTCTAGGTGTAGTGGTGGATGATGTAGATTTTGACTTTGAAACCGAGCTCAGTAATGAGATAGATCAAAATTTTACACCAAATGAGAGTCCTCAACGAGATGAATTATAAATGAATGAAAACACTCTTTTGATGCATATATTACTATATAATATTACTATATAATATTACTATATAATATTACTATATAATATAATATTATGGAAAGAGGCTCTAACAGTATGGCACTATACAAGCACAGTTAATAATAGAAATAAATTAATTTTTCTACACATGTTAATTACCTTATACTCGCGTATAGACGACCTGCGTATAAGACGACTCCCAAGTTTTGTGAAGATTTTTGGACGATTTTTGTATGTCGGGCGTATAAAACAACCCCATTTCATGGTCGGAATTCATACTTTTTTCCTGCTTTTTATGGTCTTCATACTGCATTTAGCTGGCTAAAAACAGAGCTACAGTAAATGCAAGGCTTATCATCCAAATAATACCATTTTATATAGTTTTTAAATGTTTATCAAAAATCTCCCCGTATTTAAAATTGTGTTCATTTATACTAACATTTAGTAGCTTAATTGCAGTAGTAAAATTGTGTGTTACGGCGATCCGCACACAAGACGATCATGATTTTAAAAATCTAAACTTTGTATGTTGTGCATATAAGACGCCTCCTGTTTTTCAATCGTAATATACTATTTTAAGCCTAGTTTTACACACAAGTATATATGGTATTTAATTGCCATTAATCCATAAATTTGTGTGCTTAGTTGATCTTGGTTATTTTTTTGGCGTAATAGTTTATTTGTTTATCAATGCAGTGTGTAATGACTTATCTTTAACTGTTTATATATGTTGCAGTGTATCAAAAGAAAACTTTTTTTATGTAATCTATTATGTAATTTGGTAAATTACGTTTGTATCTCTCCACCCTAAAGTATACATGTAGGTGGATACTTGGCAGGTTCATATTTCAATGCAACTGATTACTGCATTGAGAAAATTGAGAAAGCGGAACTATATTTCTATTCCAATGATAACTTAATGGTCATTTTTAGTATTTCAACCCGCTTAGTGGAATTTTGCTGCCATGGGAGGTCTGTCCACCTCCCCCTACCCCCAGCCTATGCCAGTGTAATACTATGATCTCACAGAGATCATAATAATATACATGTTAACATTTTATTATTGTTGTTGTTATTGCTTCTGCTGTTATTATTAATATTATTTTTTTGTATTTTAAATTTGTACCAATATTTCTTTAAATGTTAAAGTATTTATACTAATATTTGGCATTTTTATATATTGATATTATTTTTGCAGTTCTTGCCTAGAATTTTCCCATTATTTCTTTTTTATTTCTTGGTTGTGTTTTGTATATAGTTAAAATATTAATATACATAATTATATTGTTTTTTGTTATATTGTTATGTGGTTAAGTAGTTATCTATTTTGTGTCAATTGTTAAAATATCTTAGATATCTTGCTTATCAAAACTATTATCTTTCTTAATGGTTTCTTTAGATTACTAACTATTTAATGCAATTAAAATTATTTTGCCACCAAAAAAATAGAGAAAAATATAAAAAATAAAATTAAACAGATTTTCTCATTAAAAGATTAGAAAAAAACCACATACAGTAAATTATCAATAAGATATAGTTTTTAAAACATTTTGTGATTTTCAAGATTTACATTCCACTATTAGAAATCAACCAATATTTGTAAAGAGTATAGTGGTATTATATGAATATCCATTAATTGGTGAGAAATTATATCTTCCACTTCTCAAAGTAATACTTATAGCTGATAACTTAATTAAGTATTTAATATTTTTTCAACTTTATTTATTATAACCTTGCCTGTAAAATGCTTAATGTTAGTTGGTAGTCCTTTTCATCATATCTTATATTTATTTTTATATTTATATTTTTTTATTGTTTATAATTGCTATGAAAATAATGAATGAACATCTTTGTAAAGTATTCTATTTTCTATATTTATATAAAATTTTCTATGTCTAAAAACATTCCATGTGATAGGCTATTCCATATTCAGCATATGTCTAATGTGTATTGTGATTCTTGAATAATAAAAAGAAAGAAAGAAAGAGTAAGTCGTGTACTTAGTCTTTAATGAAGCATAATTTACGAAGGCTTTGTCATTTCCTTCTTCTCATACATACGCATTTACATTTTTAACTACTTGCCATGGCACCATGCAAAAAAAATTAACGCTCTACAGTCTAGAGGGCACTATGCTTAATATTCTCGACCAAAGGCCGCTCTGTTTCTTAACCACCCCTCGTCGGCCAAAACGTGGTACAGCCTCGGAGTACAGCATTCAGGGTGAATTCATAACCCTCTAATTTTTGTTGAAGTCTACAACAAAGTTACGGACCACACAAATGACAGTGAAGAATGTTAGTGTCGATTTAGTTTTGGATCCAATATCTTGCATCTGTTAGAAATTACGGTAGGATAATGTATGCAGTTACTCCATTTTTGGTGTGTTTGCACCCGCCGCCAAAACTCCGATTTCGGAGGTTTTGCGTAATATACGCGAATAATTATGATATCGGAGCTTTCCAGCTTTTAATCAACCATCCGATTTCGGAATTTATGAGTACTATTAATTAAACAAACTCTATATAGAGAGAGCAAAACTTTTACTCAACCCTCCGATTTCGGAGGTTGTACGTACCTGTACGCAAAAACTACGAAATCGGTGTTTTCAAACTTTTAACCAATCCTCCGATTTCGGAGTTTTGTGCACTATTAATTAAACAAGCTTTCCCTATAGAGCGAGCAAATTTAACTCGTAGGATCATCCGTAATGATTCGCTCAACAAAATTAAATAGAAATCACAATAATGAATACTAAGATTTCTGGGGTTTTTTCATATTATTTATGTGTGATCGAGTAGTCACTATAACAAATCTCTGTTGTGATCAAGATATTTTAGGGTTGCGGCCTACAGTAGGCCCACTATACTGTCAAAGCCACATGAACAGTGTATCGGATACTGCAGAACATATCTACGATTATCTAGTACAATAGAATCCCTAGGAGATGAGACACCTTCGGGATCAAAATCTTACTCACATATTGGTCTCACAATGCGTTCTTATTATCTTGAATCGAACGTGGTAAGTTTTTTTTTCCCGTTACATAATAGTGGGCGTTGATCCATGGTTTGAAGTGGTGGGGGACGAATTGCAAAAAAAAGAAAGTCTTTGTTTGGGGGCCCAGGGGGAGAAGCCCGCCCCTCGAAGCTGCGGCGTTCTTGCCAAGTCGTATTTAATTGATTTTAAGGATTACAATTAGGCCTACAACATTTATTTCCACGCTACGTTTTCTAAATATTTATCATAAAAAGTGTTTCAATTAACCTCGTAATCATAGGCCCGCTTATATATTTTGTGCAAACTATCATTCATAAAAATAATAATGACTTATTTTATTTATTATCTACGGATTAGTTCGTGTGAGATGTCTTCGAACCATGAAAAAAAAAACAACCAAAAAACCAAAAAAAAAAAAACAACAACAAAAAAACAACAAAAAAACAAAAAAAAAACCCCAAAAAAAAAAACCAATTAGAAAAGAACTTGAAGCAATCACTCTAATCTAGTCTCTTTACATTTACTTTTAAAGCCAATCAAGATCTTGTCTTTCCTTTCCATCCCCTTTTTGGCTTGTATTAGCCTGCAACACCTAAATTATAACAAATATATCTGCCGTCTAATTTACGATCAAACCGTACTATGGAGATAGGAAGCACCCATAAAACATTAGTTGAAACGTACTAGAGCATTTTTATTTCACAAGCATGAAGATGATTGTTAACATAAGGTACATAGAATATTTAATTTATAATGACGTCATCGGCGAGATTTAGCGAAAGTAACATTACCACAGATACTTAAGTATCCGTGCCATCGGCTGTTTTTAACTAGACTATATAAAATTCTATTGACTAATTAGAATTTAAATAAATTTAGGTTTGGCTATAATGATAGTTGGAAATTTCAAAATCTGTCTCTTATACACATCTAGATGTGTATAAGAGACAGGGGGGGGGATAGGGGACGCAAAAATATCTTTTCGAGGGGCGTGATACCTGGTTATCCACTGCGATATATCTTTGTAATTACTCTCAACCATAGAGGGCGGTAAATAAAAAAACAATTTTGATGTTTTCGATTCGTTTTTTTCAACCAGCTTACGTTTCGTTACGCATGATTGGTATCTTGTCACGTGTACTGAATTTACATTTGATGTAACATAAACGTAAATAACAACCTATGGGTGTAAACGCATTTTAAATGATTCGTTATCAAACTTTTTAAGGTAGGCTTCTGACTGTTAAGCTGTCTGTAGGCCTAGCTAGGCCTAGGCTACAGCAATATCTTTTCCCCTACCTACTACACAGGCCTAGCCTAGCCTAGGTCACGGTGACGGTCAGGGCTAGGCTATGCTCTAGGCCTATGCTGCTACGTAGGCCTAGAGTAGTAGGTTTAGCCAGCTCGGGCAAAAAGAAGGCCAACAGAGCGAAGAAAGAGCTCCTCCTCCCTAGCATAGGCAATAGGCCATGCCTGTAGTCTAAACTCTATGAGATGTATTTACATTAGAAGTTTCAAATAATGGCTAGGCCTAATACAGTAACTGGATCAGGGGGTGGGGTGGCTTAATTAATTAAATTGATTTCTTCTTATAGTACATTGTCACTGAGTGGGCAGGCGGATATACCACATGATTTTGTTATGTAAAAAACCTGTGCTGTTAATGTTAATAGAAAGGCCTTGGACTTGTATATGTAGTCTTTGCCAATATTTGTTGAAAAAGACATTTTCAGTCATAAATAGTTGTTTAGGACTATTTAGGACAGGGCGAAACAACTTAAAGTATTTCTTTCATTTTTGTTAAGGAAAAGTAAGGCAAGGCTGGAAAAAGTGTGCGACCACACAATCGGTGGTCAGAGGCATCAGGAATGTCCTAGAGGAATTTTTTTGGGGAAAAATAAAAATAGAAATAAACTGTTGGGTTATATAGTGTACAGACACCATTTGATGCTGGAGGAATTATATCAAGACAATTTTCATGGTCGGAGGCACAAACATTTTTTCCCAGGCCTGAGTAAGGATATGTATATTTTATGAATTACCTAAGAAAGTATAATACATACTCCAAGTATTGAAATACACGCCATCGTGTTGGGATTCAATATTTCCTGATGATGACATAATTAATGTCGAAATATTGAATCCCAACACGATGGCGTGTATTTCAATACTTGGAGTATGTATAATACTTTCTTATCTGAGATTAATCAGTGGACCTTTCGGTTTATGAATTACCTAATTATTTTTATTTAATCTTTAATAAGTATTTGTCTTTTCTTTCTAGAGCCGTTTGAATCATGGCTTCAGTTTCAGTTTCTAATATCAAACAGCTATTAAGTGAGGAGATTGCTGCAGCTACTAAAAAGGTATTATTCAAAATTATGAAAATTTATAAATTATACAAGCAGGGGTCCTAAGTCTTCCAAAAGTCTCCCGGAAATTGGGACGGCCTCCTGCACACCCGCCACCAAGCAAGGATCTCCCAAAAAAAATAACCCGTCTCTCGCAAATTCATAATATTTGCATGTTTTTACTACTACTATTATCAATTGTCTCACGGAAGTCTGTGTTGATAGGTATCACCATGTGCAGGAAAATAAAAATAAACATGTTAAGATTTTAAGCCCATTAATCAGATCTCATGAAAATGAATTCTTCCAATTTGTGACCCCTGCACAGTAGATGGCAGCTGTAGCTTATTTAATTTGTTGTTTCTTGTACCTACTTTGAACATAGCAAAAAAAAAAGAATTGTAGATTATTGTATATTGGTATTGTTATTTTTGTTTATAATAACAATATTTTTGTTGACTTTTTGATGTTATTTTTATGACAACTAAGTGACAAACAATTGGTTTTTTTTTTGTTTTTTTTGTCAATTGTTAATACTTTTGAAGTTGTTTGAAAGTTGTTTTGAAAGTTGTTTGAAATCCAAAACAATATGGCCATATGACCTGCTCTGGTGATATGTTTCATGCATAAAAAATCATTTTGGCCCAGAAACCTGAATCCCACATTTTTATATAGGTTGATATCCATGATTGTGCTGAAATCATTTGTCATTGAATTGTATAATTATTAAATTGAATAGTCAGTTTTCTACATACTTTTTTGTAGAGTAATTTTTCTCATAATTTTCTATATAATTTTGTAATCAATTTAAAAAATACAATGTAAGACCCAATACTGTATTGGGACTGATAAAGACCATAGAAACTAAATATAGCCAAGATAATTACTATTAATATCTAATGCATCATATAATATTTCTTATTTGCATTATACCTACTCTTTTAAGTCCCCATTTCTGTTTTTAATTGTACTTTTGATAGTAAATTTTAGTCATATAATTGGGTTGACATGCTTGCTGTCATATTGGTGCACTAGCAGGCACCCATACTGTACCCACATTTATGCTCCTGGGTGGAGAGAAGCAATGCAGATAATGTGCCTTGCTACAAGACACAGTGCACAGTCAAGGATTGAAACCATAACGTTGAGGTTGGAAAAACAAACCCAAACCGCATCCACAGTTAAAATTATTTTATCATAATGATAAGTAATTATTTTTATGGATTATCATTTAGTTATTAAAATTTAAACCTATCTTTTTCACAGCTTCAAAAAGATCACATTGGTACTGACAGTGCAATAAGAAGGTAAATGCAAAAGTATTGTTAAGTTTTAATAATTATATTAATATGTTCCCTATCTTACTAATTTTTGTCCCTCCATGACCAATTCTAAAACTAATGAATATCAGGTTCTTTTTAATCTCTTTATTTTCCATTACAATATATACAAGTTTTATTAAGTTAATAAAATGCTAAATGTTCAAGTTTTGAAGTTGAATTCCCAGTAGACAGGGCTGACCAGATAAAAGAATACATTAAAAAAAAAAAAAAATGCAAAAATTAAGGGTTAAGAAATTAAACCAACTGGCACCTAATTTTTATATTGTATTCTTTCAACAAAGTACTTCTTGCTCAACTTAACTGTTCTTTCCATCAACAAGCTCATTTTAATGTGTTGATTATTCAGGAATAAAAACATACTACTACAACGATAGAAGATTCACCACAAAAAAATGAAAATGTGTGATATTTTGAATGATCAAATGACAAAACATATTGTAATGTGTTCTATCCTTGTTTTTATACACAGTGGCGATACAGCTAACCGCATATGTAATGTACTAGAAGCAATATTTCTTCATGAACTTAAGGAGTCAATTGAACTAAAGGTAAATAAGTTTACTTTAAAATAACTCACTAATTAAAATTTATAATTTGAGTTGGTATAGATACTGTAAGTAAAGCCCTTTATTTTTGCAGCTCGTTATTTTTCGCGATTTTACAATTTTAAATATTTCGCAGCCTTTTATGTTTGTGATTTCACGATTTCCAGTCATTTTTTAACGTGATGCAGAAATGTAAACATTATTTATGCCTTTTGTATTTAAGTTGCAATAGTCTTGTGGAAGCTTGACCAAGGTTTTTCAAATTGAAACGTTAGAAATCTTGCAACAAATGTAGGCCTAACAAAGTTTACCAAAATGTTTACCAAGAGTTTTTAGTTATACAGTATTAACAACTATCTACCCTCAAATTGTACACATTTAAAAAGAAACAAATGACTTTCCTGTTATTGTTTACTCTATCAGAGGATTGCCCTAGAAAGTAGTGATAGTAACTGTGCACTATTTTGTATTGCATGCTCCACCGAACTGACACACCAGAAATTAATGTGCATTTCCCTCTTTATATGATATAAGTGTGATGCCTAGCCAAAATAGGTTAATATTTTCAGAATAAGAATCTAACAATAGTCATAATATTATACTGTATTTAACTTTTAAAATGTGATTTGAAATGTGATTGAATGGTTGAAAAATAATACACAAAAATGAAGCAAGAATGTTTCTACAAAATCTTTATTGAGGGAATATCAGTTGTAGATATAGCTTTGATTTTGAACACAAACTATCATTCACAATTTTGCATTTTCGCTCACCTTTAATTTCGCGATGGCTGTTTTATTGCGAAAATTAAGGGAGCATGAAAATAAAGGGCTTTTCAGTAACACTACCACTTAATTTATTTGTTGTCCTTTATTTGTTAATCCCTTAATTTGATGCTACAGTTAATTGGATATTACACTTTATTTTCATTTTTCTTTTCATAACTGTATTACTGCTCTTTAACTTCTCATCTCAAGGCTTTCTGGCCGTTACTGGTTAAGTTTACTCACCGAGATGTATACAAACAGATAGAGGGTCTATCACAGATTACAACAGATATTGGAAGATGCAGGGTAGGTGATTTTTAACTCTTTTGTTTCAATATACATTCTAAATTGTTTGAATAATGTGGAAGTTTAAGTCATACTGCCAATAGACATGCTTAATGTACTGTGAATACCTTTGAATTTGGTGTGGTTTCTTTTTATTTTGACGATTGTAGGCTTGGATTCGACTTGCATTGAATGATTGCCTGTTTGAAAGCTACATGGATGCCATGTTACGGGATGGCAAAGCAATGAAACAGTTCTACAAAAAAACAGCTTATATCCGCGATGTGGAGCACCCAGAGATTATGAGAAAGTGTGCACAAGGTACATTAATGTAACTCTTATCAAAGAGGCTTTATCACACTTAATTATACTCCAAGGCAGAAGCATGCCAGAGGGGTCAGATGGGTGTCAATTGCTGATCCAGACACAGCTATTGTAATTGCCAATCCCTAATATTATAATAATAATAGATGGATTTATTTAGCGCAGATAAACGAGGTTTCTATGCGCTTGGGACTAGATGTTGCACTTTTCAATAACTTTCTGCTCCCCCGAGGGTCACTTCATGTCCACTGCAGCCAGTAAACTGGCGCATTTTTATCTGTCCATGGCAGGGGCCGAGTGAACCAGTACACCGGGGTAAACCCCTACTCATCTCGAAAGATGTACTGGGTTCTTTAAAGTGCACATGAGCAATTGTGTACACTGGGCCTACGGTTTATAGTCCTTATCCGAGAAGACTTGTTGCACCACCAGAACTATATGAGCAAGCCGGCCGGGAACCTGTGCCGATATTGTTGGCTATGATCCCGGTGCCCCTGCCTTAATCGCTCAACCATTTGGCTCGCTCAAATATTGTAGTCTAAAAGTATAATTGTAGACCATGCAATCTCTCCCCATGAACCCCACCACGAATTTTATTCCAGAACCCTGCCCAAGGGTGGAGGTGGCCCCTTAGTTCAGATCCCCTGTCAGACAGGTGGGCCCATTGTTGGCAAATTTCTGGAGCCACCATTGCTATAGGGACCCTGGTTCCTCATAATTAATTAACGACTTGTCTTATATACGTACATTTACTCATTAGGTTTCCGAACAGGTAGCCAAGTTTAAAAAGAAATGAATTTATAATAGATAATAGTTTTTTTTTTTTTTCCACCAGGCCTTAGCAATTTTTACTTCCAGCTTTCTTTCAACTCATCTGTACTAAATATGTGGGGCTCATCACCCAAAATGCTCACCGGAAGATGGCAACCACCGATAGAGAAACCACAGACAAACAGCCCAACATGTAGGTTTTCAGTTACTAGTATTATGTACAGTAAATCCAGTCTTTAGTGTTACATAGCGCTCCCTAGAGTCATTTATCTATTAACATTGCTGTCACACTGCCCAATATTTTTCATTTTATTTGTTCAATTGTGTCAAAAGATGGCTTCCAAATGGAGAAGTAAACATACAAGCTAACAATACAATTTGAAAGATGACTTTAAAAGTTTTCGTAAGCAAGTTGTGTTGTTGAATACACATTTTCATTTACCTTAGTTTGTTAGACTCCATGATTGATAAAATTTCTATAAGAGTAGAACTTGATTTACAGATCAATAATTAATGGAAAACACAACTTGGCATGTAAAATAAGATTGACTTAGGCAAGTTTAACTGTAGTAATTTTTTTCTTCCCTTAGTGTCACAAAGGAGCTCAGATGGATCTGAAGAAAATTTTGGACAAAAGAGTCGCCCACCGAGAAATAAGCCAAGAAAAAGCAGTAGTGCGCATAAAACAGAAACAAAAAGTATCCCTCCACAGACAATGGAAAAGCCCAACGAATCAATGAATGATCACTCAAGTTTTCGTGAATGTGAAATGAGTAGTGGATTGTTGCATACACCATCTGAAGGAAGCTCATCAGTAGACTCAAACCAAGAAAAGTACATTGGACTGAGCAGTCAGGAGGGGGAGGAAGAGAATTTAATTGAACAATCCTATTCCTCTAATACTGTGGTTGATGGAAATTTTGAAGCTGATAATGATCATATTGAAATTAGAGCAAGTGAACACTGTTCAGAAAATGTTAATGGACCATCTGGTGCTAGAGATGATGCTGATGTTGTTGATGATGATCAGTCTGGAGAGGTGTGCGATTCAGTGATGGACAGAGAAGATAAGAAAGTTCAAGCAGAAGATGATGAGTTTATGGTACCCAATCCAGATGAGACATTGAAAACATATTTGAAAGAAGAGTCCAATAATTGTAAAGGTGCTTTTGATTCAGTTAAGTCTGATAAATCAGTAAATGTTTTCGAGTATCAGCAGTTTCCGGAAGAGGACTTATACCAGGAAGATGTAGACATTTCCCCTTTGGAAGAAATAGAAGATTCCAGTGACCCCTATAAAAGGAGTTCAAATTCGGAGGAAGAAACCTACAGTAAAGAAGAGATTTTTGGAAACAGTTTAGGAGCGAGAGGGGGATGGTCATCTCAGTTTGATAACCCTTCCACATCAAAGTCAACAAAAGTAGAGAATGGTGAGATGATTGTTAAAATGAATTGAATCTGCTTGTAGTTTCAAATGTACAGCATTATATTGAATATCAATCCGAAAAACCCAACAATACAAGTTAATTTTATGAAATGTTATCACAATAAAATATGTAAAAAGAAGGTAAGTAAAGTAAAGCCTTGCTGAGCCACGGGGCTCATAGTGGGCTGGAGCTTTAATCCCTAGTTTCAAGTATAAGATAAGAGTGGGATGGTTTCCCTGGGTGGGACACTGGTCCATCTCAGGTTGCTTCCAGCAATTTACTGATACAGCTGGGTAAACTGAAGCAATGTACATAAAGTGCCTTCCTCAAGGTCACAAGTAAAGTGCACAGCGTCACAAAGCACCACCGAATGTTGCTTTTCATGGTGGAATTTAGCGCTAATTACTTCTTCACAGTTAAAAATATACGATGGCTTATAATGTGAAAAATATTCATTAAAAAAGTATGTGACATTACTGTAACTTTTATCCACTATTTATAGGAGAAAGCTACACATCGCTTTTTAACTCGTATTCCGTGAACTCTAACAGTCCATCTCATCCCTCGACAGCCGATATTGAGAAATTAGTGGGCAAAATTGCATCACCAGGGAAAGAAAAAGTAAGTTTGTGTCCCTTTTGTTATTTTGATGGGTAGCTTCTCTAGCTTATGTACTCACCGCCTTGTGCACTACTGCAATGGATAATGTGCGCTTTATAGATATTATTATCCATATTTTTCTTGCCTTATATGTTGGTTGTAAGGATATATAGAAGGAAATATATAGGGGCATTTCACTATTGTTAATAAGTAGACATGAGTGGTAATTAGATGTTTTTCTTGTATTAATCATTAAGTAAACTTTTTATAAAAATTTATTTACAGTAAATTTTTATCAATAATAGTGAGTTTTAGATGTGATAATTATCTATGACATATCTTGCAAAAGAGTACAAGTACTTTTTTGTTTAAATTTATAATTTGCATGATATAATGTTTTATATGACAATGGATCTAATTAAAATGTTTTTAGCTAATTTGCATGATATAATATTGTAAATGATAATGCATATATGCTAAGTTAATATTCATTTTAGCTGATACTGTATATAATTTGCATAATATAATCATATATATTGTCATCATATATCTCTTCTATTTGATTCAGACTAGCCATGATTTAGAAAGAAATGATGACATTTTGGCTGATTATGACATCATATCATCTATCCCTTCATCTGCCATGTTTTTTTCTGACTCTGTAAGCATAACATGTTCAGTATTTGTGTTTATGTTTGTAATGTTGTTTTTGTGTCAGTGATGTTCTTTATGTTTACCTCATGTTTTTAGTCATGTGTGTGTGTTTGGCATTAATTTCAACCATTTTAATTACACTATTTTTATAAATAGATACACTGCATGGTTCATTAGTTATATTTTCCTTTTAATTTTATATTAAACTTACTCAACTAAATTTATTACATACAGTTTTAGTATGAGTGTCATACTCTAAGTCATTGATATAACTAAGATGATTAGTCGATCTTGCCTGTGATTTCCATTTTTATATTTAGGTACCCGGACCAAGGGTTGCCATTAGGGGATTGTGTCACTGAGTGGCACAATAGAGAGCTTTCATTTTGCACGAGGATGCAACACTAGAACGGATTCACTCATGCATGACCGTCCCGCGTTCTTTGCGCTATGTAGATTTGTTCAAATTGCGCCATAGAATCCATGCGATGAGTAGAACTTGCTGTTTCGCGCATTCGCAGATGACTCTTTGGTGACATCATAATGTTTGACGTCCCACCATGTCATGCAATCAAAAGTTCCCAATTATCCCCTTTCACGCACTTAGCAGACATTTTAGCAAAAGCTCAAAACATATGTCACTCTCTTTTTCCTGTCTTTTATTAGACAAGAACATGGCTACTTATCTATGAACATGATATGAACATGGCAATAACAGAATTTTCCAGTATACACACACACACCCACCCACACACACATTCAGTCAGTGTACTTATTGCTTTCTTGTGTACCAAGATATTAAGTATGTTTGACCAATGGCTTAATTACCAATTTCAAAGATGAGGTGTCAAACAAAGACCAGAATTGTTAAGTTTTGAACCAGAGGTGTTACTACTGCACTCTGTTGACTTCCTTTTTGCTTGACTCCTCTACCCTAATTATGGTTTATAGAGTGATAATATTATTACATTGCATTGTATATAAAGCAAAATATTTAATTATTGTACAGTATTAAGTAATATGTTAATTATTTAGTCAATCTTATTATTTCTTTTATTTTAGAAAGTTCAGCAACTCTTAGCAATTGTTACACAAATTGCTCGTGAGAAGGGTCTTGACAACCAAAATTATCAGTGCAAGGGCTGCTCAAGACCCATTGGAATAAGTATGTTAAACAAACATTTTCATTATAAGTGTTGCAGCTTGGATAATTTTTTTCCAGGCTAATGATGTATGTTGCCACACTGCTAAGGGCCTTGGTAGTATGGAACAGCCAGCTGAGGGTCCAATGTGGTGAAACCCCCATTAAAACAGACAGGTTTTTTGCTCTTTTATATTGATTTTTAATTGGTTTGAAGGGCTGTTCTGGGTCTCTATATATTTGCCTTTGATAAAGTACTTGTAAAACCATGCATGTATGATGGCTTTTAAAACTAAAGTTAATATTTATAGAGGTGTTGATCGTATAAAAGTAATTACCTCCGCAAAAGGAGGTTATATATTCACCGCTGTCTGTTAGTCTGTTAGCAAGATTACAATGGTACAATAAATGGTAAATGATTGCTTTATAATAGTTTTATTAATATCTTAACTAATGAATTAATATTATTATTATTATTACAGTTTATGGCAAAGCCAGGGTGTGTAGTTATGATGCTTGTTACTACTGCAACGAGTGCCATTTGGATGATGAAGCTGTCATTCCAGCTAGGATCCTACATAATTGGGACTTCCATAAGCACAAAGGTCAGTAAAGACAATTACAGCGGCCATTCTTTTCCTGTTGCTGCCTCACTATTGTGAAACTATTTTACTGCATTGACAAATAAAGTGGTGTCCGTAACACCACTCAAGAAACACCTCTTTGACTCTGTGAATGATTTTGTTTTTCTTTCATCCTCATTTGTGACTTGTTCCCATGAAACCAGACAAAGACGCAAGTTAACATTTGGAGAAAATCAATAATTATAAAGTTGTCAGGTCAAAAATGTTGATATTTAAACTTATTATGTTCATATAATATCTGTCTATTATCAGACAAATTACGAAAAAATCTGAAAACTGTACAATGGATGCACACCCCAATCCCCACCCTTAGTAATAATAACAAATAAGTTTTTTATTGGGATAGGGATCTACAGGGTAGTTCTGCACTCCCAATTTAATATGCTTTATTTTCCAGTTGCAAGTTATACCAAGATGTTTTTACAACAAATGGAAAGCTACCCTTTGATTGATATTAGCCTTAGCAACCCTAGACTGTATGAAGCGATTACGGAAGTGCAAGACATAAAGGTAAATCAATTTAATCTTAAGTCTTGTTTCAATAAAAATGCTACGCAGTTGCTTTGTGGAGAATATCTTACTGGAGAAAAGTTTTTCTTATTTTTTTGTTGCTTCAGAAAGTTTATCTGCACTGAATGTGCTACAAAATAACTTACAGCTTGCTTGTCTTATGGGACGAAATCACAAAATGTTATAGTCAATTTCCTAACTGCTACGTTAGGCTACCAATTTTTATTTTTTCAGGTTTTAAGAACACAGCTGAAATACCTAAAAGCTTATCTATTCACCTGTAAGGAATCCACTGCTGAGGAGCTTAAGAAGAGGGTGTGGCCAAGAGAATACATGCTAGACCATGCTCATCTGTACTCTGTACAGGTAAGTTTACT